CTGGGGTTGGATTTGCAGCACTGAGTCGCGATCAGCTCATCGAGCTTGCACACTTGGAGCTCGTCCGCGTATTGACTGTAAGTCTCAATCATCTCCGCATCTCCCGTCATTCGCGGTATTAAATCGTGCGCGGAGCGGACTGTTTGTCGCTGTAAAGGGTCGAGGCCGGCCTGGAATGCGTTCATCGGGTTGGGCAGTGGCCTGCTTGAGGGGATAAACTTGATCTTGATGCTGTCAATGTCGAAAAGCTCTGGGTGACGCCTTCGCGCCACGAAGATAGTCTGAGTCGCTCTCAGGTAAGAGACAAGGCGACCGATGAAATGTTGTAGTTCAGCCCAATGTGGTGATTCGTCAAACCTTCCCAGTTTCCCTCTGTCGACGATGGAATGATAGATCAGTGATTGTCGTAGATCTGCAGCTGCCCGGACAAGTGCCTCGTCGTCTTGCGAGGTTTTCTCTGCAAATGGTCGATTAGTTGGGCAGGATTCACCAAGACTCCGATTACGGAGAGTTTTTATCATTACCTGGAGGAGAGGTGTTTCTAGATGAGGTCATTGATCTGTCGGCCACGCTTTGAAGCCTCAGCAATGCTTGTTTGACCGTAATATCTCCAAGGGGTATTAGAACAGCAAGTCATCTTTGAAGTTAAAGACTCACCATGGACAGATCCACGCCTATCGCAATCTTTAATGCACTGTGTGAGCCCTTGGACCAGACCAATGCGGTAGCAGTGGACTCGCTCATGATTGAAGGCCAAAATCTTTTCTAGTACGTAGGTGGCCGATTTCGAAGTGGCCTCTTCCATAAGAACTGATGAACTTGCACTTGTGTTACTCAAGTATTCGAAGAGATCCAGAAGAAATGTCTCTGCTTCCTTGATCTCTTTGGGAGATCTCTGGTTGGATGCAAAGGCATAGACCAAACAGTCAGGTAACCGGATGATGGCCACAGATGTGACAGTTTCGCCTCCACGTCGATTGTCGCAAATCTGCGCCAGCTTATTCATGAGGCATTCCTGGGTCATTCTATAATCATCTCCTGGTTCAGAAACATCGCTCGAAGCTTTGTTCGGCTGTTGTCCATTGCGCGAACAAGCCTGCATCAGACTTGAAAGCAGTATCAAGGCTTCGTAGAATCTGTTCAGCCTTTTGCAAAGCTCTAGACTGATGGGGTGATCCAGGCCGTCGGCCGTCACCATTTCTGTCAATTTGGTATCAGGTTAGTCGAAGCTTTCGCAAGAATTGGGATGACGATATCTCACTTCGCCCCGATCCCCTAGCAGGACTTCGCATCGTGGATTTCCCTTTGGCCATTGGAATTAAACTGAGAAAAGGAACCTGATCAATCCGAATAGTACGTTGCCAAGAGTGTAGGTACTTGGCAATACGTCAAGTGAGGAGCTGGCTATATGCGCTGTCCGCACTACTTGAACATGAACAACGCCTAAAATTCTTTCAAATTCGAGGGGATCTTGATTGTTTAAGCAAAGTGCGCAAGAGATCACACATGGCGCCCAAAGCATCATTCAGGACGCTCACAGCGGCCCGAGGGGGACAAACATCGCCGAATAAGCGCAAAACTTGACAAAGTAATAGTCGGAAAGAAAGTCCCGCGCGCATTTGCGCTAGTCGCCAACTCGCAACCTAGGTTGTTGGCCGTACCAACATATCCCACAGATTTGCTGACAGCCAGCTGTTCATTTTGCAGCCACACTCATTGATCAAGAGTCACTAGGGTGCAGCTGATTGCATAAAAAGTGGGAGGCCGCGGAGGCCAACAATCGAGCTTCTGAGCAATGATTGGCCCTAAGGTTCACATACCACATGTCGGGTCTTGCTGTTGAACCATGGTGTCATTCGAGCCAGGAGGAGCGACTGCTAATGCCCAAGGCTGGTAACATCCTTTGAGGCATATTGCAAGGCGTCCTGATGTCACCCCGAATATCTTCTGTGGGTTACTTATCTAGTTAGGCAGCAAACCGGTCGCCTGAATGTTCCAACAACTTTGAGGCCTCAGTAGAGCCCTCCACTTCATGCTAATTGGTCAACGTGATCGTGAGGACGGTTGGCCTCCCGCATCCTGACCTGCAACCGGCTGCAAGTACGTTAGTCCCATCTCATCGAGCCATCCGCATACGACAGGTTCACCGAATTCTTTCTCCACTAAGACGACGTGCTTTGGACGTATAGGCAACACTCTAGCCAATCTTGGCAGCATGCGCAAGTTGTGCCGCTTGGGTCGAACGTCGGGCGATGAATGATTCGCTGCTGGAGGGAACAGGTAACGAGCATGTCTAGAGAAGTTGGAAGAAAAAGAAAGAAGTGTAAAAGCCGAGTTCCTCTAATCAAGCTGTTCAACATTACATAGATATTCGATCTCTGAAAGATGCAAATACTTTAAAAGGGGCCTCTATTTCTGATCAAATCCACCACAGATGGCACTATCCACGCTTTCATGTTGAATACGATGAGTTGAGCGCAGTCGTCTTTTCCTGGCATAGTAGTTCATGCACGCTATCCATCGCTGTATTATCTCAACTTGTCTGAGAAGACTTGTAAGTATCGGAAGATAAATTTGTGATAGGAAATCTGTGAGTACTGACTGACACATTTTCACAACGTTTATCTGAATTGGGTGTCAAACTCTTTGGTTCTGGTTGCGGATACATGTATTCATCGCTGTGGAACCGCGAAAACACTGCGGGAGGCCTTTGCTAATAACACCTCGTCAGCTTGAGTTCGATATTATCCGCCGGGCAAAGATTAATCGTTTTGGTACCTTATTTTGGACTTTCTTTGGGGCACCCAGAGGTATGTAATCTTCGAGAAGTCAAGACACTGCTGCCGCGGTTGTTTAACCAAGTTTGCTCTAGGTCACGTACAGAGATACGAAAGAGAGAGCCTACAGAATCATCTGAGTACTGAATACTGCCCCGAAGACCCAAAATCAAGTTCAAATACTGTCATGCCTCGAGAGTCTCAACACAACGGAACCTCTCGGGTAACCCACGACTATTCTAGGGCCAATGAGCCATGGGGTTGGCTGCCCACCACTGGTGGTTACGTAAACGACGCCTACGCCCCTACTTCTGACGATCCCATCGACCCTTCACTGTTATCTCACACGCAAACGAGCTCGTTCAGCCCCAATTATTACGCCGCGCAATCTGACTATCAGTCTCCTGGAGCCGCATCTCAAGCGCTCTAGGCGTTTCGGGGTGGATCTTCGCACGGGGTCAGTTCCCACCAGCTACCATCACAGGGACTAGACGTCTGGAACGATATGGACGCCGAAATGTACGCTCAGGAGGCGGTCCGGACCCCCCTGCATACCGCCGCCGCTCTGCCTCTTGAGTCTAATCCTCCACAACAACCGCATCAACTTCCTTTCGTTTGTACCGGGGACCCAAACTGTACTAGAAGCTATGAGAAGAAGCATGAGCTCAAGTAGGTTCACACACCTCACTGCTTTCATGCCTGCACGGTATCGCTGACATTAGATCTTCAGTCGCCACATGAGGAAGCATAGCAAGCCATGCGCTTGTACAGTTGAGAATTGCACTGCAAGATTTGCGGATAAGAAGGGTTTGGACCGACACAAGGCCACTCATGGCATTGGAAGGGATGAATTTGATTGTCCTGAGTGCACCGAAACATTCACAAGGGCCGATAACCTGTACCGCCATCGGCAAAAGCAACATCAATTCATGGGTTAAAGCGGCTTTGCTTTTGCTACGGATTCATTATTCAGGCAATGCGTTCGTATTGCTTTAAATATTTTGTTATAGTGCGCGTTCATAAATTGATATGTTGACTATGACGTTGCTACTTGAAACTCGTCTTGAATATTTTCAGCTCTCCCAAGCCATTTTATGAATATCCTGGATGCTGGTAATGAGGCAATATAAATATTCACATTGAGATATTTTCCCAAACTTCATGAAATCTCGATACCCCTATGTAATCCATTCATTCACATTAGATTTCAAGTTCTGATCCCGTTGCGCGTTCAGGACATAGTCAGCCCGGTCAGAATGATGCTGTTCTCTCTGCTTGAGTAGCTCCCACTTGACGTCCTCACCCACCAGCAAACCCGTCTTGAAGTTAATAAAAACCATACTTTGTTTAAATTCATTTAGAAGGACACCTAGACCATTGATCGGGTTCAAAAATGGCTTCCAGTCAATGAACTGACAAGTCAGTCGCACTGGATTCAACTTGGATGCACCCTAAACCGCCCCCCTTCCGCGCAAGGCTTGCTCTAATTGGCTGACATTCATGCACATTTCTCAAGCTAATGCGGGAGGCCAACTTCAAGGCTTTCTAAGCTAGCCTAACAGAAAGAGGCAGATGACAATAACTATGCGCGTTCGTGCTGCAGCGACCAATGGTTGGCCGAGCGTCCTTGTGGGACTTTATTTCCTTGCCTTCACGAAGCAGGCTGACAACACCATCAATAGCGACCTTACTAAGTATTGAAGGAGACTACGAGTGATCCCAAATCCCCACTATTGATTATGCTGGAAGGTCTATCAGTGCATGGCATCACTCCAGCAACAAGCGAGGAGCAAACGATACACAACAGCTTGTGAGGACAGATCTGATACGTACTGACTGCGGGACGCAAGAGGAAACGGGGACTTCATTGGAAAGACTGCTGTATTGCGCACATTTAAATCGGGATTCCCTGGATTTTTGGGGCTTTGCTATCTTCACCAATACCTCACATACCGTTTTCCCAAATCACTTGTGCATCATTGGACTAGTATGTATCACCACCCTATAATTTCAGCTACTGCGGGGGGCCTTTCTCACGAGTGACCATTGACTCAACCCAGAAAACCGAAGGAATAGATACGAAATCATCTGTACACCAACGGCATTACTGCCCTGACCTAAGCTGTCGCCAAATCAGGCCGTGGACGTATGTACCCTCGCCCATCCTGAACCGAGGGCTCTCCTGATCCCCATATGTGTGCAACAGGACTTGTGTTCGTCAAAATGCAGCGCGTGGAGATTGATGATGGCGAGACAGAGGACATTTTCTATTCTTTGAACACAGCATGGCAGTTGGAGGCTGTCTCTGAGGACGACCAACACTTATACGAATTTGGTTTGGCATCTCATGGCGCACTCGGCCTCCCCAATACTTTCCACAGGCCTGCCCTGACTAACCAAGCTCATCACCTCGCCTCTCTTGGCCATACATGTACTTCTGGAAACACATCTTCAGGGCTCTAGGCTCCTGAGGGTGGATTGCCGCCATGGGGAAACCCCCCATTTGGTGAGCGGCAATCGCAGGTTCCGGTGGGTTTAGGTATGACTGATGAAGAGGCAACGGCCCGGGCTGCTCAAATGGCATATGAGATCCAACATGTGTGCGAGCCTTGTGGAGAGGTATTCGAACAACCCGGGGATCTTACGTGAGTAATCCACATGGGCCCCAACAGTCCAGGAAGTGTAATAACTTAATTCAGGAGACACCGAGACAAACACCTGAGGCCTTATCAATGTCTTTTCCCCATGCCCAGGGCATTTCCAACACTGTGTCCAGAGAGATTCGCTGCCCCGAAAGATCTAGAACGACATAGAGACGCCTTGCACAAGAAAAGGGAAAATCCGAAGAAGCACACGTGTACCGACTGCGGTGAGGGATTTACAAGAGATGATAATCTCGTACGCCACAAGAATGAGACTTGCAAATTTCGGGAGGAAAGGAGATGATAAGTGAGAGAGAATTTTTACTTAGATATGGAGCATTTCAGATAGCCATGTCATTTTTGGCCGTTAGACCAGTGTCGTTGGACGGGGGGACAGGATGAATGCAAGTATTGAATAAATCATCCTTGGTATAAGTCTGAGAGTGGCCGGCGAATGTGTTCTACCCCAGATAAGATATTTTTCGCGTAGATTGAAAACGATACATTAGCAAAGAACGTATAAATGATCTATCACATCGTCTAAGAAGAAAAACAGCTAGAAGGACTAATTTACATCACAGAATAATCGATGAATGACCAAAATCGACGCGCCCTGATGCTCAGCTGTAATGAATCTCGCTCACCAGCGGCCAAAGAATGTGCGGCTCCTTGAAGCCCTGATCTGATCCCTCGGAGATTAGCTGCTGAATCAAATTATAGGATGTGAGCGACTTGCCGTTGCAGGCGGTGGAAGGACGTGTATGCTGGGATGAACGTTTTGCATGGCTATAATCCGAGTGCCGGCTTCCATCTGTGAAGGGCTAGGCGGAATGATTGGTCGCGCGGAGTCCATTGCCCAATGGGCTCCTGATGTCACTGGTCTAGACATCTGCCAATCTTTCAACGCTGTACATATCTTCTGCAAAATTTTGGGGCTTGCAAAGGCGAAGATTGAGCCCCAGAACGCTCCCACAGCCGGTCCCACAAGGGGCGTTACAATTGTTGACATCAGAGATGTAAATTCTGAACGAGTCCAGCCTTCACCTGCACGCTTTTCACCTAAGGAGTGAGTTAGCACAGTCTATCTTGATTGCACGACTCTAGGCGGGAAACAAAGACGGCTTGTTTGAATACGCATAGCAGCATCATCATAACGGGAATATGAAAGGGGTTAAACATCAAGTTCACAGTTAGAGATAGAAAGGAAGTTAAGGAGGCCACTCACCAGTAGCTTCTTGTGTTGTATTGGACTTGCACAACTCGAGAAAGACATCTCTTCGATGCAGGTCCGAAAGGGATGAGTCTCCAGGACTATCATCCTGCTTCAAAAGTTAACATCTTGTTTATAACGGCAGCGTTCCACTAATTTGAATACTTACCAGTTGAAAAGGTATATGATGGTTCGCAAATAGAAACAGTACCATGATTGACGCTCCATGAGTGGTCCCAGTTTTCTTTTGCTGGCACATGTCGCCCAAAACCACCAAAATTTGGATGATTTTGAAATTCCAAAGAGAATTGTCGTTATCAAAGACCGCGATCCATATAGCTGAAGCGTAATAGAACCCCGTTTGAGTATCGATCCGGGTTCTATCGCCGCCTTTTGACTTTCGAAAACCGTTCCGAAACTCCGTGATCATATCGATACACAACATCAAGGTAGTTACTCGGCGAATTGTTGATGACAAGGTTAGGACGTGGCCATCGAGAACAACGATAAGACAGATCACGGCCCTCACTACTGCAGAAACAGTGTTATCCAACTGTCGATGGGCAAGGATTTTTCGAGGTATTTCCATCGAGTTCTGCTCTGAAACGGTAGTACTGGGTCCTGGAGTTAAGAGTATGTTAGAGTTCGGTCCATTTAAGCCAAAAGTATCTGTAAATTCTATCTTCATAGAAGAAGAATTCTCGAGTGAGCTTAAACTTTGAAGACGAGCACAAGACTTACGATATTCTCGAATGATGACCGCTGCAGGTATATGCGTGGTAATTCTATTCCGAATGATGGAGTCCACTTGTTTTCGATATAGAGGTTCAATTGAGAACTTGATAGGTGGAGAATCAACTCTAACTACTAAAGCGGAGTTGAGAGTATTTATTACTGTTTCCAATATTAAGACAACTTGGCAATGTAAGGGAAGGTAATTGAGCCTCCAAACACCACCGTCTGCACAGTATTCAAGCCAGTGCGCAAGCAACAGAGACAACAGAAAATCCATTTCGATTTCTTTCAGAAACTTTTTGCTTTGTCCGAGCTTATGTTCCTGAGGGAGGTGGGCTGATTGAGTAGTAACCTTATGCCAAGCCACTCTCCTCCTAGTGTCCCCTCTGTCTAACCAGTCCGCCTTTGCATCAAACGTGAGGCACCTTAAGACATTGGCCTCCACATCTATTGACCTCTAGCCAATTATGAGCCTTGTGCTTTTGAAAACAGTAGTGTCTAACTGAATGGTGTAACGTCGAAAACGGACTGACCGCTGTTCTCGGGAAGCGCTCTGTTTCTCATTGGTCCATGGCATAGCTGGTCTTGATTCAGAGGCGCATTTTCTGAGTGGGTGCCTATCATGAGTTTCTTTGATAACCATGAGGAGCAAGTAACGTAGCTTTTTCTTGCGTACGCATGCCAGTATACTGATAAGATGATAGACGCATTTAACGCGACTAAGGTCAATAGCTTGCCCAGCCTGATGTCCATTCACAGTAGTGAGAATGATAGTAGCTTGCGACAGTTACAGTCTATTAGAAACGTATAGCGTCGCGTGTCAATCTTCTCTCTCATGCTTAAGAAGCTTAATCCTTGAGGTTTTGGTTGTTTCTACATCAAACCATGACCCCTATGGTTTTATTCGTGGAAGCTACTTATGTGCCAACTTCGCACTGAAAAACGTAGGTTTGGCGAAATCTCGAAGAAGGAGAAGGAAGCTTCTCACTATGACAAGCAAGTCACACAAGCTATATGATCTGATCGCCTCGGGCAGGTTTTGATAGTTGTGTCGCAGTGTGGAAGTTCTTTCATTCCATACCTTAGTCTCTATTCTACGTTCTTGGGTCTGCTTTTCAGACCAGAAAGACCTAAACTTGAGGACTCACGTGGCGTTCAAGGCGTCACAGCCACCGCGTGAGCCAACATCGCTGGTCAGAGCCGTTTGACCGGTACGAAAACGGGGGGCGCTGACGAGTGCCGCCCGAGGAGATCATTAGCGTGCCAACATCCCAATGATACATCTTAGGCAGCAACTTATACCTATGTCCATTAAGATGCATTGAGTTCTCTGACTTTTATTATTTGGTTGGCTGATGGCAGGTCTCAAAGAAACAGTTTGACAGAGGCGTCCCAAGTCAACGGCTCTACCCAGTACATCTCAAAGATCTCCTTGTGAGTCGAGGTTGTTCTTTTTCAGGCCACCTTTCCTTCCTAGACAGTTATCTCAGCTGTGTCTTGGTGATGATCATGTGGCTGCGACATTACGTCTTTGCTTAACCGTTCCCGGCTCTGTGGCGTCGTACATCCCGAAGTGTGTCACTCCGGTAGCCCCTCGTGTATCCCTCCAACTTCAAGGGAAATGCGACCGTGGAGACTCGGACTGATTCACGCAAAGTTGAGGTGAAAGGCAATTGGGGATTCCTTAGAATCGGTACTTAGGAGACGTGGGTAGTCGTGTACATTCACCCAGCCTTTAGAAGTACTGTAAATAAACGGCTCATGACTATGTGCTTCGCCTCAAAGTTTCATAGAATTACGGCCTTAGAAATATTCGAAACACTGTAGCAAAGGTTCGTTTGCAAGTTTGAATGTACAAGTACGCCCGCGCAAGGCTGACAGGGATAAAGGTCTGGTCCTTTCGACGGACCCTCCGATTCTTTACTATTCCTCTGCAAATGAAGTATGCGTGTAACATGTATAGCTTTTCCATTTTGCAGCCTTTCACGCCACTCCATGCCTGTTCCTAGCCCCTCTCAGTCTCCAATCTTCCTCTTCCTCCTCCAACAGCCTCTGTCCAGGCAATCGCACAGCCCTGTCCAGGGCCACAGGTAAACCTCGATGACGCCCTCTCAACATAACGAGGCATAAGACTAGTTTGCTCCCGGGATGCCATCCTCCAGAGAAACTCATGGCATCTTTAGGAAGCCCAACAGATATACCAACACAGCCGTACCCAGAAACCACTTCAAATATGACATTAAAAACCGAAAAGTGCACCGGATCTTCCAGAAAGTGTGACGTCTCTATAGTTACGATGATGAGAACAGCCAGTGCGAGAAGCCACAGATCGTGTGCTAGTTGACCACGGATTTGCTGGTTCACGAAACTCATTCGAGTTTCAAATCCGCTGCCTCTCTTCTCGGTTTTTGCAGCACCAACACCAGCAAAGCTTAGATTCTCGCGTAGAAAGTGTGTCAAAATACCGGTACTGCTTGGATCCTTTTTCGCGCCCGGGTGGGAAGAGACTGGAGATGGTTCATCGTCGTCGTAGATTCCTAGAGACCGCTCTTCGTAGACGTTGGAGTGCCGCATAGTGATCACCACAGGATACACGGAGATGTACATCATGATCACATACAGTACCTGCAGCCCTGGATAGGCGGAGGCTATTGGGATGACGTAGAAACCTCCAGAGCGGACAGCTACGACTCAGTCAGTAGCTGTCTTTTTCGTAGTGGATGGGAAAGGGGGACATACCTAAAGCTTGGAATAAACCGTCCAGCACTCTAGCCCCGGCAGGAATAGCTTCAATAACCGGGTTACCGATATTGAGAACCTCAAATGCCATCCAGTCAATGCCATTCGTCATGAGGACCATGAATAAAAGCCACCACGTCGGTCGCGATGGGAAAAGATTGGTGTAAACTCGACGCGGGTACTTCAGGATGAACTCCAATGTGCTCTTCAGCTCGGCCAACTTTTCCTCGGTGGTCGTTGCACGAAGTGTTTTCAACGCTGCCCAGAAGACGAGTCTCAGAAACAGCGGATATGCCGTGTTGCCCGCGAGGATGAGTAAGCCCATGGTTATGAGCACGAAATATGCCTGCTGGAATGGCACTACGTTGGCGTCCAGCAATGACATCCCCGAGTTATTAAATGCTGAGACGGCGAAGAATATGCCGGCCCACCACGGGTTCGCACCATTGGATGTTGCGACTGTCGGCATATTGTTCGCAATCCAGGCTCCGAGAGCAAGACTTCCTAGTAGTTGCCAGAGCACCGAATACAGGAGGACCACGATGGACAAGAGGTGAAGGGCCCGGTATTCAAGGCCTCCCAGACGGGAGCGTTCGGGCCCCGTTAGGGAGTGGAACTGGGAGTTGCGGCCCTCCTTGGAAGCGCTGAGAAAGGATAGCCAAGGTCGAGTAGGTGTCTTGTCTGAGAGGGTCGAAGGTGTTGAACGGTGGGTGATATTTCCAGTGGTAACGATAGTAATGTTATTACCCACAGTTCGAGGTTGAGATGATGTATCTACATCAATCAAGCCGGTGCCACTCGCAGCTCCTTTCTCCTGAGCCGCAGCAACACTGTTATTGGAGGCTGGTAGGCCCCAATCATGCCGGCTTCCTTCTTTCTGGGCACGAGCGACCACCCGCAAGCTCTTTTCAAAGACATGCTTCCTCGCCACGACCGTCCATATCGATACCCAAACAGAACTGCCGATAATGATAAGCAGCCATAGCATTACCTGTTGCCACACAGTCATCTCGCTGAGGTTGACCGTGTTGAGTCCGGCTTCCGTCATGGCAGAGATGACGAGAAAAAGCGAGTCGACATAGCTGATGCTGCCGTGTGGATTTGACGAGGCGTAGAAGATTGCCGATGCGAGGAGCGTCGTGCCGATAAAGTATGCATAATGCAGTGTTATGAAGTTGAGAGGTGGTGAAAATGCTCGGAGCCCGCTCTTGGATGAGTTTTCTTCATCTTGGTAGCGTTGACGAGAATTCGTCGCAGATTGTGGCATTGTGAGTGTTGACATCTCAACCAGGAGGTCGTCGATACCCTTGAACGCCGAGCCGGCAAATAGATTAGACTTTCCAAATCGCGATTGCCAAGTTCAGTAGATCTGCGCAGCCAAGGCCGACTTGGTTTTGCTGTCGTCAACTCTTAATTACTCACTCAACCTTTCCCTTGGCCACTTCCCGAGAGGAAACAGTAGCAAAAATTCGCACAAAACGCCTGTCAAACACTTTGCCGTCAACACAACATTTGGAACCTTTCAACCTTTTCACAGCTCACAAATTGTCGGTGAGAGGGGGTCAGGGGTGGGTAAGAGCCACTTGACCAAGCCGAGTCATTCGTCAAAGGAGACAACAAAATTTTGCGCTAAAGGGGCACCGTCTGCAGAGCCGGTGCTTCTTCATCTCGCTTGGCACGTGGACCCGTTGAAGCTTAATCTCACCGAGCTTCACCGACGATTTTAGAGTCCAGAGAGCGCCCTTCAGCCAACAACTTACATAAGGTAGGCCAAGATATATGGACTTAAGGAGTAAACGAGAAGCATCAAGTTGCTTCACAGAAAGCATGTCGCATCGAGTACATTTCATGAGGTGGGACACTAGTTCGGGCAAGCCAATTTATTCAAACATCCTACTCGTGAACACCCAGCTACCATGTCCAAAGACAGCCAAACCCAGCCATGTGAAACCAAGCTCCAGAGTCCCTTTTGTCGTAAGATACATATGCCATGCTCCTCGGTATTTTTAGACCGGTATGAAAATTATAGAGACAAAAGAAAACAAATCCCTTGAGGACTCCTCCATTCCGCCAGCTACTTCTCCGCTTAGAATCCGAGGAGACCGTTGAAGGTGGTAGCAACAGCTGCGCTCTTGTCACCGGAGGCCAGAATCTGAGCCTTGGCGTCCAGGCACTGGGTCTTGGCAGCATCGTTGGCCTCGCAGACGTTAGTGAGCTGATCGCAGACGCGGTTGATGATGATGTTGGGGTTGAGGGCATCCTGTTGACCCTGGGCAACGAGAGCGTCGGTAGGCAGGAAGGTTCCCTCGTCAGCCTTGCGGCCGGCACGGCCAAGCTGGAAGTCGATAGTGGGAGTGCACTTTCCGAAGTCAGCGGCACCGGTGGCAGCTCCACCATTGTTGGCGTTGCCGGCGTTTCCAGTGTTGGCATTGCCGTTGTTGGCATTGTTGTTGCCGGCGTTCTGGTTCTGGTTGTTGTTCTGGTTGTTGTTCTGGTTGTTGTTGTTGTTGTTCGCGTTGCCAGTGTTAGCGTTACCGGTGTTGTTGCTCGCACCGGCGTTTCCGCTGGCGGCACCGCCACAGGAGCTTCCAGCGTTGGCATTTCCGGTGTTGGCATTGGCATTGCCGGCATTGTTGTTGTTGTTGTTGTTGTTCTGGCTGCCGTTGTTCTGGTTGTTGTTGGCGTTACCAGTGTTGGCATTGCCATTGTTGTTGCCGGCGTTGGCATTGCCTCCGGCAGCAGCACCACCAGCGGCCTGGCCCTTGATGGTGAAGTTGGAGAAGCCCTGAGCCTGCATCACCTCTGCGACAGACAGGCCAGTGGCATCAAAGGGGGTCTGCAGAGAAGTGGCCGAGTTGGCGTTCTCGGCATCGGATCCGGTGACGGCCGGGTCGACGAGGGGCACGATGCCACGGAGGGCCTCGGTAGCGGGGAGAGAGGCATCGCCGCAGATGCTGGGGACGCTGACAACGAAGGGATTGAAGTTCTGCTCGGCGGCAACGACACCCTTGGCAGCCTCGAGAACATCGGCGCCAGTGCCGAGGGCGGCAATCTTGTCGGCGAGAGTCAGCTTGTCGCAAGGGTCGGCGGCGGCAAGGAGAACGCCCGGGATACCTCCGGCGAGGGTGGCAGCTTCACCGGGGTTGCCAGCCTGCAGAGAAGAGACGGCTTGAACGGGGACCTGCTCCTGACCGAAGCGGGCTTCGACAGCGGCCAGAACGGCAGAGATGAGAAGGATCTTGGAGTAAGACATGTTTGCTGATTTAAAGGCTGTGAAGGGTTGATTGAAGCAACGTTTACTGAGTGTCGAAGAATCGAACGAGGTTTAGAAGTTAAAAGTTGAAAAAGATTGTAATAGACCGGCTAGCGGTGTGTAGTTGGATCAGGACAAGAAAGAGTGTCGAGAACGTAAAAAAGTTCACAGAACTGAAAGATTGAAGAGTAGAGAAGGATGCTTGTTGGTTGCTGGATGAGGAAGAAAGGAAAGAGAGTTGGGATGACAGGTGGGATCATCACTATTATATAGATCTGAGTGTGTCTGATGTCAGATCAGTCGTTTCCATTATCTCACGGCTCTTTTACTGCGCGCATAGGCAAGAATGGGGCAAGGCGAGACAGTCTGCGACGATGACAACCCATGACGGGCTTCTTCCCATCCCTTCTAGATGCCGTTCCCGCTTTCTCTCACACATGGGATCGTAACCGAGAAGGCAAGCCTGCTCTGCCTGATTTCTGTCTTGCTCAGCCATCAGTAAACGCCGCCTCGTGGAAGAGTGTGTCTAGGTCGAGGTCGCAACGTGCCGCAAAGTACTACTCATGGCCCCGACCACCCCCTTAGCGACGATCATACTAGAATAATGGGATGAAATAGCCATGGTGCGGCAAGGACGTCACGGCCATCACTGTGGCCCAAGTCGTCCGCGTGCTACAAAGTGTCGTCCCAACTGGCCTCACACGCACAGTTTGTCTCATGTCGCCTGGATCGAGGATTCACTCAGGGAGCATGGGGGTTCGGATGGCCGCCTCCGTCCAGTCTCTTCTATTCGGGAACACGGCCGAATTGACAGGGAGGTGCCCTGCTGCCAACTCATGGTTGCTTCGGATTCTGCATGCGCCCAACCGGCCTTCTTGAAGGGATTGCGGTGACCGCAAGTGATTCAGGCCAGGGCGATGACGGCTTGAAGCGAGAGAGTTAAGTTAGAGCCCCTGGTTAAAAAGCAGCCAAAATGACGAAAGAAGAATGGTTTGAATGGGGAGAAAATCCAACAGCATGGATCATCTGGAGGCGAAGGGATTCGAAGAAAGGGGTCTCTGCGCAACAGTGATGTGCCAGAGGGCCATTCAGGGATTAGCGTCCCCCAACGTTCCCCTAACGTCCCCCGGGCCGAGCGCATCACATCCCTGTAGCTTTCCAATCTTTCTTTGCTTTCGGGGCCGAAGCGATGAGGAAGACGAGGGAAGAAGTCTTCTCCAGCACCCTAAAACCCCCCCGGCACGCTTTAAAACGCGGCATCGTGAGATAGAATCCACCATCATGGGGCCTCCACTTGGAAGCGGCATGAGGTTGACTTGGGCACCCGGCAATTGTCCACCATTCAGCTCCTTTCTGTCTAGCTTGTTCCCCCAGCTTCGGCTACCACGAGAGAGGGGCTTGCGACATGATGCTCTCGGGGTTTTAGGGACTGTGTCCTGTGAGAGGGGAACAGGACGACAGTGAGCTGGTTTCGAGGGCTCTGCGACGCTCAAGGAGAGTTGTGCTGGGTTGATGATGCTGACGCGCGAGAGAGCCAGGACTTTGGGCGATGGGACGACGTTGAGTCTTTTCTCAAGTGCCATCCGATGGCAAGCTCAACCTCATCCTACAGCACAGAGCTGTCAGAGCATGCGGTGCACCAGTGCGAAAAAGAATGGTGCTGGGTTGCATTGCCTCGTACGAGTCGTAGCATTAAGCTCGTCAGGCACCGAGGGTGGCTGCTGGGAGGCTGAGAGTTTGAAATGCTCAAGCGCTTTTGTGTGTCACACATGGCCCAGTGGCACGTAGGTCATTTAATTAAAAAGTAATCTATCGCCAATGCTTGTATTGTGGGCGGGAGTTAGTCCTCCCGGTCGAAAAGTCCGATAAATTAACTGAACCCGTGGCTCTGGTCCTCACATATCCTCCCCAGATCATCCAGTCCCGAAAGATTTAGAGCTTGTCCTTTAGACATGTCAGTTTCCCCGTAAATGATGTTCAATGGGATGAAAAGTATGTTGCAAATTCACTGTAACGAGAAACATCTCGTTGATCTGCGGCTTGACGAAATCTGATCCGAATTACTCATCAATCATTATGTGTTTTTGCTTGCTCATAGCGTCCTCCCTTGTCGTCGATCCAGATTGACTTTCTATGCTCAGTGGCAGCTGTCAGTCTCACTTGGCTCTTGCATCATACCCATTGCCTCTGCTCCCAGTCTCGCTCTTTATTATCTCTTCATTCCTGGCTCTCTAGCCACTGCACGCCCAGCGACGCTCGGGCTAGAGATCAACACAACTCACATGGGTGCCACCGTAGAATGCAACGCGAGACCTGGCAAGCTAACTGAACCCCGGACCGGCGACGTTCGCTTCGGAAGCGCCTATTTCTCGATTCCTCCCTCCCCCTTCGACTTCGGCAAAAGACTTGCCGTAGTCCTGGCTAAATTGCATTGGTTCTCTAGCCTACCAAGAACAGCAGGTCAGTGGTTGACCGCCATTGACAACGTCCAGTCCAGCCACAAAAAGTCAGGGTCTGTCAGGGATCTGTGCCATCCCTGGGCCCGCAGTCCATCCCATTTGGGTAATCCCAGATTTCGAGATCGCATCGATCAAACAGCCTCATCAGGGGTTCCTGAGACGACTCCAAAACCTTATGGGTCTCGACCCGGTCCAACCAAACAACAACACTGAAAAACTTGCCTTTTCGGGCTTGTCAGCCCTTTTGACCGAGCAATACGTGCCGTCCATCTCTTACAAAGGAGCTAACCAGCTGGTCATTTTTTCCTCTCTGGTGAGAACATCCCAGGCTTGATTCCCAACGTAGTCAAGACGCTTCACTTGCCAGCTTTCGGTTCGAGGCCCGCCAAGCCGAGACAGGGCGAAATTCTCTTTTTTCAGCTTCTGTGCCAAGAAGTTGTGTTTGATCTGTGCTTCTCTCCAGTCTTTTCCCAAATTCTGTTTATTTTTGAGGTGACTACATCAATAATCTGCTGCAACTCCTGTGATCTTGGAATAGATTCAAGCCGTCTTGGCTGGAACGGATCACAGAAATGGCGTACCACGACCCAACGATACATCCTCAGCCAGAGTTGAAGTCAACCTAACACAAGTTAAACAACAATAGGTCTAGATCTTCAGTGAGCCATACGTCTGCCTATTGTATCCCTGTCATCGTCCTACCGAAATTGCTTAGATTTCTCGACGCTCCAAGACGCGGCTGGCGACAGACGGCCAGATCTCGGAGGCTTCCGTCCATGCACACGACATCTGGCCTCGGCGAAGGGTCGGGAACCGTATTAAGAAGGTCTCCCTCGTCTTTGACTCAGCCTGCTATCGAGTCAGGCAACTTACAAGTCCTTCCACCTCGTCTTCCTCATCCTCTACTCATCTCATGACATGATCTCCTCAAGCCTCCCCAGCCCCGAGGCTCGCCGGACTTCCGAACAGAGCTGATTCATTCAGATCCGTCTCATGTCTCATTTCCTGCCCGTCTGAAGTCTAGATTCCTTCCGTCGGTCTGTCGCTTTCTTAGATCCTTCTATTAATTACGCTCTTCTTCCCCTCCCGAGACCTAGGGAGAATCATATCTGCCGTCGCTGCAATAGCCGCTCCCTGGTTCCGTCTGAAGCTCTAAGGTCTAGAGCCGGAGCCCCATCTCACGGCATTACGTGCTCGCTTTCTCGGCGCATTGTGCTCCCACCCACTTACATTTCGGCCTGATTCTCATCCGATCTTTGGGAATGGGAAGGTATGGAGGTTTTTGACTCTCATGCCGGCATTGCGTGTCAAGAGAAATGACTTCCTCTCTCCGAGATCAAAGTTCGGTATGTCGGATTTCGTGCCACTTCCCCCAAGGCGACATGAAGCCATGCTTCACTTTCTTTCAATTCAGTCCCGAGATTCTTTCATCGACCGATTGCACTCAATTCCTTTCTCCCGTGTCATGATTCTTGGTGCAGGCATTCGAGAAGAGTTTTGACTTGGCCTGCGGGCAATTCCTGAGTGTATCTCAACTACTCGACCTCTAGTGTTATTTAGTCGCCGGGACCACCTCTGCTACTCAATATTCAAGATCTTCTCTGCCAGCTCATTTGATTTCAGCTGCTGATGGAGAGTTAAGTACGTTTCTTATATATGTTCAATTGAGTTTAGACTCTCCTCGTTTCCCTTAATAGAATGCTTTTCCTTGCCCTGTGTTGTCACATATATTTTCGGCAAGAAAATGGTAAGCTGATTCACTTATGTGCATTTCGTATAAGCGCTGAGGAGACGTCAGCAAGGTAGGCCTCGTCCCACTTCAGAGTGATGCTGACCCTGCGGATACGCGATATGTTTTTCTTCCATAGGTCCTGAAGTCTCAATGGCGTCCGTAACCGGCTCAGTCTCATATCGGGTTGTTAAGGTTGGCTAGGGAGAACCAGGTTGACGGCTCAAATTGGAAGTCGTTCTTGGCAAAGAAGATGTCCATGACTTCGTTTCGTATTGTTCCCTATGTTACGAGGAAGAGTTGGTCTCAGACAAGGGCAAGTTTCTGCTGTCTTTGAACAAACGCGACTGACCACCCTTTTCCAGTGAGGCTCGCTGTAGATGTAACTGAGGTTAACCCAGAGCCTATTTTGTAGAGGAACCGCGTCTGGGTACTCATAGATCATGTCGCGCAACTCTTTGAGAAGGCGGAGAAGTGCTGGGAATCGGGCCTCTGAAGTTGGTGAAGTTGGCGGACTTGGTGTGGTTGGCTTGGGATACTGTCCATAGCTCCGAACCACGCGTTTTACACGAAGTCTTGATTCGTTATAAGCCATAGTAAAGTCATGTCTTTCTTGAGGCTGTGACAGAGTCGAGCTTTTGGCCGGTCTTCGCTAAACGTAGTGTATCGACTCTCAAGTGCCTCTTCTGGGTTGAGTTTAGGAACTTCTCATAGAAAATGAAATATCTTGCGAGGTGTCGAGTGTTTCATACAAAGTCGCGATTGAGTTTCCCCAGCTTGCTCTTGTAGCAACATTGCGTTCACAAAATAAA